TACATCCTCCGAAGCTTTCAAGTGATCTTAAATTGACAGCCGAGCTCCAGACTTTTGAAAATAATCAAAATGGCCGAAAGTCAACTGAAAAACACGTTTTTGTGAATTTTATTGTTTGGTGATGTACATAAATAAAACAAAACATAAATAAACATAAAACGCTATTTCAGATCGACAGAGCCGCCGAAAAATCGCAGACGACATTGCTCGGACGTTACACAGTCTTTATCCGCGCTAGAGCAGTTATGATCTCAAAAGGATACATCGCACAGCTGGAAGAGACAAATTGAACTTTTTGAATGCTGATCGCCTTGCAATAAAATTCAAATTTGTTTTTTTTTCGAATGCTTAATTACCGTACTCCCTTCTAACCATGCTTGAAGAACTTTAACTCATTGTCCAATAGTTTTGAAAATCAAAGAAAGCAAAATAAGATATGAACTATTAAATCATCACTTTTATTTGAAACAAAGTGGAATATGTAAGAAACTGGGATACTTACATTGGAACGCATGCGCTTAAAGTTAGATCATAATTGTGAAACTCTGAGAAAACAATGCATTGATTACAATGAGAAAAATCTTTGGGCGACATTGGGAACTCGTACTGAGCTTGAGATGATACTGTGTTAAACACAGAAAATTTCGAACGGATGATATGGAATTATCCTTATGAAGACACAAAGAATGTGTACACGTGTTTCAGTGACACATGAAATTCAATAGACGGGGTTTGAAAAAATGCGTAAAACACAACAATTTTGAAACGGGTAAAAAAAACCAGGTAGAATGCATGAAAAATGGATAAAGAATGGAAATGCATGGAGAGTTCAGCTTAGAAGTTTGTGAGGAATTCGTGGTTGAGGACTTCTTCGAATGATGGTCTCTGGGTTGGATTGAAGATGAGGACGAACTTCAGAAATTCGAACAATGGAAGATCCGTGTCTTCACGCATCAAATTCATCAATAAATCCTGATTGTTGTTTTCTTGGCGATTTTTGAGGAAATCGAAGTTTAGCTGACATCTTCTGTAAGTCTTCTTGTGTTTCTTAACATCAAAAAAAAAAAGAAAATGTTCTTACCTTCCATGTCTCGACATCTCAATCATTTCCTCCGGAATGGTCGCATTCATTGTCGAAACCATATATTCGAATTGTGACTGTTGTTTCTCGTTCTGTGACGCGCCACTTTGATGAGTGAATATGGCTTTTCCAAGGTACAGTTGGCTTATCAGGCATCCCATGGATCACACGCCACACTTCTGGTCGAATGAAATTCCTGAAAAAAACACAACATTTACAAAACAAAATAAAATTGTTTTATTGCAGCTGTATTACAGTCATAACTCACCCATGAAAACTTCTGGTGCTCTGGAATTTTGTGGCTGAGCAAGCATAGGTCTTGCGGTTCCAGGTGCCCAGTGAGACATTGAGTTTCCATAATCGATGAGTTTAATTTGGAGTTCACTCATTGTGATTATCGGGATGGTCGAATTGGAATCTACTTTGTATTTGACGTTGGTGTTGGTGAATGTCACGTTGGCAGCTTTGATGTCCAAGTGGTAAATTTGAAGCTTTTCCAAATGGAACAACGCCTCTCCAATTTGTCTTCCAATTTGTTTGATATCACTGATCGAGAAAGTAGCCATTTGTCCATAACCGGCATCCATACTAGCTCCTAGAAAATAAAGTTTATAGAAAGACTCCCTAAAAAAACTTACTTGTCATAATATCTCTGATAGAGGGACCACAGGGTTCGGTGATGATAACGTCTTCTGAGCAACCTCGTGGTGGATTGATCAATTTACCGGAAGAATGCAAAGACAACAAGTTAATATGTGGGTCCTGGGTTATTCGCTGGTACGCCTGAAAATTGAATTGATGGAAAGGTTTCCAAAATTTCCAAATAAAACTGATAAAAGTCTCAACAAGTATTCCTCGGTTTGCTCACCTCCAGTTCATCATCACACGAGTTGTTATATATTAGCGCAAGAACTTTTGCCGCGTACTGTTGACCATTCTGATCTCAGACACGGTAGACAGTACTGAAACCGCCACGACCGAACAATCCACGAACACTGTCTGAAAAATTTGGTTTGTGTCTAATTACCAACCAATTCAAATTAGATCACTCACATCGTTCGCCGTTGGTGAGCTGAAGTGATTCAGGGATTGTGCTTCGATCGAAGACTGGTGGCTCATAGCCATAGCCAGGTGACAATTGGTCGTTTTGTTGCATGATTGTTTCTCTAAGTAAGGATCCGCTGCGGATTTTGTTTCTCTTGTAATTTGTTAAGTATCTTGACTTTGAAGGGTCAGATAGAGTAGCTGAGGTGGGCGGTTGTTGTGGTCACGTCGCCTGCAAAACAGAAAATTAAAGAAAAATAATATTTTGCAGAAAACCGTTTCAATCAATAAGAAGAACTACAACTTCCACGCAAAGAAGTACAACGTGCACAAAAGATGACACTGTTGAGAGGCGGCCGATTGAATGGCGACCCATCCTTGCCACGTCACACAGGTGTCCCGCGAAAGAGGTCGAACGACACTGTGTGCGGATGGCCCCGGGCAACGAGGAGGCCTCTGTGTGTTAACCGACATAGACCCAAAACAACAACAGTCAAAAAATGACCTAGACATTGCGTAACACATAGAGTTAACATTTATTGATCGGAAATCCATTGTTTTCTATTGGTCCGGTTTGGGCACAGACGCCTCATCGTTACGCGGGGCCATCTCCACACAGCGTCGTTTGAATGACCTCTTGGCTCCTCGCGCGGGCCATATGTGTTTCCGTCTGTGTGACGTGGCAAAGATGACTATGCAAACGCGCTCTACTGCTTCACAAGGTTACAGTTGCAGTACTGGCCAAAAAGAATGCGTCGACAGGGTAAATGCGTCGACAGGACTGTAACTTTGTTCAAAGTAGAGCTAAAGTGTCAAACGTTTTTGTAAAATGTAGCAAAAAACCCTTAAAAATATTATGAAACATTTTTACCCAGAAAACGGAGAACAACTTTTTTGGCGACAAAATTCACTTTTTGGAAAATTTCAGATTTTTGGTTTTTTTTGCTTTCAAATATC